ATCACGACAGTCTCCTGTTTCTCTGATGATGAGATTGAGAGTAGGAGGAGGAGAATGATGTACACTGCTCTGAGTTCTTTGAAAGAAAGAAGCAGGGATATTCATCGAATAAATAAACATGATTTGGAAAGCTGCTGGGGTGCCTACGAGTAATTCTGATGAGGAATTGAAAGGCAGTGAACCTGGCAGAGGATCATGGTTCCAGGTTACCAAGTCCAGCTGACGGGTGTGAGGTGTACCAAGCAGTGCCCCTTTGAAATGCCCATTTGGGGCAACAAATGCTGGACCAGAGCATGTGCAGAAGGCAAGGGGGTGCTAGTGATACAAATGGAGAGATTGGAATGGGAACCCTTTTACCTTTTAGGAGAGGTGAGTGGGGAGGCCTCTCCTAAACAGAGGACAGAATTCAGCATGTGCTGAACATGGGAGGAACATGCTGGCAGAATAACTTTTGAAGATCGCTGTGCAAGCAGTGGAGAAGAGGCTCAGGAGGAGGAGGAGGAGGAGGACAGGCCATCTCTTGGTGGCCCCATCTCTTGCCTCCCTGCCTGCTGGGATGACCTCCAAAACCCTTCTTTCCGCCACAGCTGCAGAAGTGAAAGGAGATGCAAGGTCAGAATGAAGTCTCATCCTTGCAGCTGGAGATTGGAAAAAACACGGTGACCTCCTAGATGCTCTTTCAATTTATGAAGCTGGTATAGTTTTGTTTTGTTTGCAAGTAAATAAAGGCACACAACCACCCCATGCAGAGCTTCAGCTGAGGGAAGAGCACAGGTTGCAATGCCCGCATTTGCCATAGAAAGAGAAAGGAGTCTTGGTCCTTCTAGCTCTTTGTTGTCCATGCCAGCTGTCCCCATCCTGGTGTCCTCCGGACATGGTGGTGTGCAAGCCCCATCCTCCACAGCCAGTGGGGGGTCTGTGAATGACGGATGCTCCATGCACACACTCTTGGGGCCTTCTTAGCATGTGGGACAGGCGTCTTTTGCAGCCTGGCAAAATGTCTCTGCATAAAACGGAGACTTTTGCATGGAAAGCAGCATCTCCAAATCCTGGTGGCAGAGTGCCTTTTTTTTTTGCTGCAATGTATCGCCTCTGCTCCTTCGTGGCTTCATCTCCCTCTTCTTACCTGCCCCTCCTCCTGGTTTGAGCCACTGTGTTTCTTTTCCCCTCATCCCTCCAGTGCCCCCTACTCACTGTTTCCCCTGCCCCAGTGACGTTAAAGAAGATGCTGACTATGACCCACACCGAGCGGCCTGCCAAGCCGCATTCCACTCCACACCAGGCACAGTAACTGAGCCTGCAGGCGGTAAATCTCCCAGCACAGGGAGAGAGAAGGCGCGAGAGAGCGGGCAGATAAATATTTAGTCTGGCTGCATGGCACCGCTGGCTCACTGGTGCAAAGGGGACAAGCTTGCTGGGAGCGAGGAATGCTCTGCACAAATGGCTGAGAGGAAACCACTGGTTGGCACACAGGGCCAGAAGGGAGTAAGAGCAAGCCATGGTTTAGGGGGCAGCTGTCTTCCCTTACAAACAATTCTTTTCAAACCTGTGGTGAGAGGACTGGACTGCGAGCCAGGAAGCGTGGGCTCTAGTCACCCCTTGGCCACAAAACTCATGGGATGACTTTGGGCCTGGCATTGACTCTCCGTCTATCCTACCTCACAGAGTTGCTGTTGTGAAGATAACATGGAGAGGAGAAAGACTGCAAGCTGCTTTGCATCTTTTACAGGAAAAAGTGGGATATTCATATAAAGAGTCAATACATTTATGCTGGTTGCTGGAAAAGTCAGTGTAAAAGAGACCCTACCCATGGCTGGGAAGAGGGTGTTGCTCTTGGGTCAAGCAGGTCAACAGTGAGTCTAGCCAGTGATTCACATGTGCTGAATATCTGTGGCAAAAAATGAACCAGAACCTTTTGCAAGGCATAGGCTGGTATGAAAGAGGGTTCCTGGAAAAAGACAATAGGGGTTTCAGTCAGATATTCTGGCTTTTGTTTAACCCTATGTGTGCATGCAAAAAATAGAGTGGATATACACCAAAAGTTTGCAATCTCTGACAAATGGCAGATGAGATGAGGGTGGCTTCTCTTTGCATTAGAATGAAAAAGAAATCCTTTCCAGCAGACTGGAGAGTAAATTCTGAAAGCAAGTCTCATTTGAGGGACCCAGTGGGTGGCATGTCCCACTAAAGATGTTGGCAGGGGCTGCTGGGAGTTGAAGTCCAAACCTTCTGGATGGCTGGGGGAAGCTGATTCACACCCTGGCTGGCAGCCTTTCTGTGGGGAGTCAGCCTGCCCAGAGATGCCTGAACCAAGTAGGTGCCCAGCCTCTGTGTCCCTGTGTCCCTTCCCAGCCCTGAAATACCAGCCACCACCTACATCTTTCCAAAGTCTCACTGCAACACATAACATTGAGCAACATCAGTGCTATTTGCACAGGCATACAAAGCCCTGGTTGTTGTTGTTTAGTCACAGAGCTGTGCCCGACCCTTCACGACCCCATGGACAACATTCCCCCAGGCTCTCCTGTCCTCCACCATCCCTCGGAGTCCACCCAAGCCCACACCCACCACCCCAGTGACCCCATCCAGCCCCTCAACCTCTGCCATCCCCTTCTCCTTTTGCCCTCAATCATTCACAGCATCAGGGGCTTCTCCAATGAGTCCTTCCTTCTCATTAGGTGGCCAAAGTCTTTGAAAGGCCCTGGTAATTGGGGGAATTGGGGGAATGATAGCCTGCTCAGCACACCAAGAGCAAGACCTCTGCCTTGTGGGAAAAGCTGGGTGGGTGGGCATCGCCTTCCCCTGCTTCTGCTTCAGTGTGATGAATGCAGCCAGCAGAGCCCCCGTCCAGTGCGAGTCCAGGCCCAGCTTGCAGCTGCGTTGTCAGCGGTCCAGTCATGTCCTCTCTCCTTGGTGGGTCCACATTGCTCTTGGAAGGGAGAGGGTGAGTCAGCCCTGGAATGCCTGCAGATGGACCCCCGGGTCATCGCAGAGAGGAGCTGAGCCTGCTCTCCTCTGCCTTGCTTTCCCCACAAGAGGAAGAACGTGGGATGTAGATGCAAAGTGGTGATGATGAGGATGATATTCACAGAGCCGTCTCTCAGTCTCGCCCTGCAGGGTTGTTGTGGAGGAAGGGTGGGATAGAAAGGCGATGCTCACGATCTGCTTCGGCAATGCACAGAGGTCGGTTCCTGGCATAACCGTGTTATTGGTGCTGCTCTTTTTAACACTCACTTCAGGTTTGTTTTTCTGTCTTTAAGAACACGCATACCTTTGGCAATTTGCAAAGAGACCTAAACAAGGACAGCCGGGTCCCTGACCCCAAGGAGCTTGCAAGTTAAATTTCAGACTTGGGGCAATGCACAACAGTTGTGGAAGGCTGGGAAAAAGAATGAACTCGCTAACAGACAGGAAGGGGAACGGATGCTGAGCAAGGGAGTGGGGCTTCTGCGACTGAGGCAGCAAGCCAAAGTTTCTTCAAGTCATTGAGGATGATAGGCCTCGTAGCTACTCAGTAGAGTCTGAACTGGGACTGTTTTCCTCACAGACAGAACCATAGTCAGACACTTGGAATGTTATCATTTCATTCATATTTTTGCCTTTCATCATCCTTGCTCTTATTTACATAAGAACTATGTCTATGTGTGGCATATTTTCATTGTGTTAGGACCTAGGATTGCAGCAGTGCATTCTTACTGCAGCTGCTCGATTCTTCCCATGGACGTGCGAGGGACTTAGCATTGTCATCATCTTTGCCGTCTCCCCGTTGGTGCAACCTTTGGGGCCAAAGGCTCACAGCGCTGATTCCCATCCGTTCATGGCACACGTTTCTCTCCCTCCAATCCCTTGGAGAATTTTCTCCAAGCAAAGAAATCTAGTCTCTCCTTTCCTCCTCCCTCTCCCTTTTCCCAGTCACACTTCAGCTGGTGGCCAGCAGGGCAGATGGGCTTAAGATCACCCCCGGGGGCCCTGCCAGCCCCATCTTGGCAGGAGGGAGCTTTGGACTTGGCTGGTTTGTCCTTGCAGGGCCGGAGGGAAGACGAAAGAGCTGCCGGCGAGGATCCCAAGAGGAGGCCTGGCTCAGCACTAGACCTGTGTTTCTGCAACACAGTTTGGACTTTTAAAATCATCTGGGCTGCAGCTGTGAGCTGGGCAGTGCCTCCCGTTGGTGGAGCATCAACAGAAAGGGCCTTCCTTCCTTCGACAGCAGATTCTTTTTCCCCCCAAACATGGCAAAGGTGGAGAAAAGGAAGGGTTGCCAATCTTTTTTTTTTTTTAAACTGGCTCCGGTGGCTTTACTTAAACTGTGCATTGTGTTAAATTTGGACTGTGCTGCCGCTCCTCACCAATTTGTTTACCTTAGTGTGAACACAGGTGGGAATTGCAGTGTGAACACTTCTGAATTGCAGTGTTTGCATTAGGGGAGGATTCAGGCAAAATAGTTCCCCCCCCCCCCACTCTTCCACAGGAACCAAAAAAGCAAGGGGGAAAACCTCATTTGGCAACAGTGGGGTCGATTTCCCTTTGTTTAGTCTCCGCAGTGAGGGGCAGAATTCTGACTGGGAAAGTCGGTGCCTGCTCCACCCATGCACAGTGACCCCAGTCTGGGGCAACGGCCTGCACACTTAGATTTGTCAGCAAAATGACCAGCAAGACAGGCAGAAATGCATCAGGTCTAGCTTTTCCTACTATGGGGAACCAGCAATGAGGACTGCTAACCTGCCAAGTGCATCTCAGGATGCTGCCACGAACGCAGCAGCGGGGCCAGAAAAAGACTGCCAGCTCACACAAATCCCTTCTTGGATAGAAGAAGACATTTTAATTTTTATTCCAGCAGGCTTCTGTTGCCATGAACAGCTCTGCAACAGGCAAAAATTCAGGAGGGCTTCCCAGATCAGTGCTGGAGAAAGATTGGGATGGCCAGACATGGACAGGAGGTGGAGGTGACTGCGTCAGAGTGAAGCTGAGAATATGGTTCGACTTCCCTTCTTTTCTTTTAGGAGGTAAAGATTTTCCGAGCGCTGATTCTTGGGGAGCTGGAGAGGGGACAGAACCAGCTCCAGGCACTCTGCTTTGTCACTCGGCTGCACCGCAATGAAATCATCCCCAGCGAATCCATGGCCAAGCTAAGACAGGTAAAGGGAAGAAGGGTTGCCGGCTGCTTGTGGTTAAGCACATAGTTTTTCTTGCTGTTGTTTAGGTGCATTGGTCACCGATTAATGAGAGTGGGGGCATAGCCCATCTCCTCTCCATCTCAGCCTCAAACCAACCCTGCAAGGTAGAGCACAATGACTGGCCTGAAGTCACTCAGTCAGCTTTCATGCTCAGGCAGGGACTGGAATTCAGTCCTCTCTCTTACCTGATGCCACTCTGCGAAATCAATGTTCAAGATGCCTTCCATTAAAAATATAGACCAGCCATGACTAAACAAGCCCAGCAAAAAAGCTTCCCTCAAAGAAACAATTTTACTTATGGGGAGAATGTAAGTGTTCTCCATTTACACACTGAGGGTGTTGTTCAGCAGAAAAGTCGAACAGTCTTGAATGTTGTAATCCAGGTACAATGTGGGTGTTCATGCCGCTGGCCAAAGGGAAGAGGGGATTTCTTGGCAGGGCATTATAGAAAGGGGGTGTTTCCACACTCGGTATTCCTGTAAATCGCACTGCAGAGTCTCCAAGGCCCTGTTGTACAGAAAAGCCTCTCGTCGCTGGCTGAATACAGCTTTGTATGGAGGGTGGCTTAATACTTCCCCACTCACCTTTCCTCTGCTCCAAATTGTCTTCTGCAAGCCACCTTCCCTTCTAGGGCATTCAGATACAAGTCATCTTCCTCGAAAAGATGGGTGCTTGGAGGCCTATGGAGGGAGAGCAACCTGAAAGTTTGAAAAGCACAACGATTCTTCCACTTCCTTTCCTCCTTTGACAGAAAAACCCACGCACGGTGCGGCAGGCTGAGGAGGTGCGAGTCCTGGAGTATCTCAACATGGATGTGGCAGTCAACTTCAGCAAGGGGGCCCAGCTCAGCTCCCACATCCATAACATCTGTTCCGAGGCCAGGGAAGCCATCTATACCCGAGAAGAAGATGTGAAGTTCTGGCTGGAGAAAGGTACGTGGCACCACGTCTCTCTAGACTTTGTTCCTGGAATGGCAGGGTACAGAACTGCCTCAGCCCAAGGGCAGGCTTTCATTTTGTGGAAACTCTCCAGGGCTGAGTCACAGGACTGAAGGCAAAAGCACCAGGGACAAAGGCGAAGGATTGTGTCATGTACTTACTTCCAGCACTTTGGAGTTTCTCTGCTGCAACCTGCTTGGTCGTTCACCTTTTCTTTCCCCGTGGAAGGGGCAGCCCTTCACCCAGAGAAATCTTCCACACTCCCACATGTTGGGGAGGGGGCATTTTCTTTTCAGCCCTTCTCTTCCCTCAAGGAATGACCAGAATTCAATCGAACCAAAAATGGTCACAGGAGCAAATCAGAAAGCCATGCAACATTTGGTGGCTGGGGAGAATGGGAGATGTGGCCTTCTGGGGAGCCTGGGAGAGCTTGGTTTGGCCTTCCTGAAGGTCTGGTTTAGACCCTGGGCCATATTTCCACTCACCAGTCCCAATGGTCGCTAGCTTGCGGGTCTGAGGTTCAACACCCCATAGGGCATGTGGAGAGAGAGAGAACCTGTTGAAAAGAGCAAGGATGCTTCAGGCATTGTCGGTTGTAATGTTGAAGGAACTTTGGTCGAGGATGTGACTTCCCGGGCCTGAACTATATGGCTCTTTTGCAGGGGTAGATGGCTCCATGTTCGAGGTGCTGCCCCAGTCGACTGACCTGCCCGACCTGCAGCGTTGCCGGCTCTGCACGGACCGCTGGAAGCCCTGCATCTGTACCTATGCGCTGAACATTGAGTGGTACCCCTGCATGCTCAAGTACTGCAAAAGCCGCGATCCCACTGGGAAAGTCTCCACCTACAAGTGTGGCATCCGCAGCTGCCAGAAGGGATACAGCTTCGACTTCTACGTGCCTCAGAAGCAGCTCTGCCTTTGGGACGAAGAGACCTAGCAGGGAGCCTGGGCAGCCATTTTGTACTGAAGGGGCTTCCTGCCCACCTCCTTTCCTGTGGCCGCGGATCGCCTAGCCAAGGTGACTGCCTAGAAAAGGAAGGGGAGTGGTCTGGAGCAGTGGTGGACATGCCTGGCCTCCAGTGTATGGAGGTTTTGTCTGAGTGTGTCTGTTTCCTTGGCTGCCCAACCGTCGGCTCCCTCACAAGAATGGACCTCAGCTGTGTTTGGTTGTGAGATTGTCAGAGAAAGAAGAGCGGTCGAGTCTGTGTACTGTGTGATGCTCTTGGACTGAGCAGGAGCTGTTGGAGACTTGGGGACAGCCCAAAATCTGTTTGCCACTAGCCATCTTGACTGTTTTATGCTCCTGGACAACCAAAAATGAAATGTGCCCCATTGCTGCTTTGTTTAATAAAGAAAACCGAGGAAAAAGAATAGTTTGGCAACCTCCAAGAATTTGGGAGCTTCGGATTTGACTGTGTGAGCTGGGAAGATGCTTCCAAGTTGCTACTCGGTTCCACCAATAGAGGGAGACAAAGGACCATGGCAAGATGGCTACTCCACATTCACATCTCAACCCTGGTGGATGTGAGGAGGACGGAACCTGGCCTGTGCTCTGCCCACATCGCAAGATTTGCTCAAGAAGACAACGGTTTTGGGCTAGAAATCATTCTCCAATGCCAGCACCACCAAACCCTGCAATAACTAATGGTCATTTATTATAACGACTGCATAATGCACTCTTCCAAGTCTGAGCCGCATTTTGGCCATACCAGGATGCATTGGGCACATACCCCACAATCATCAGCTGTGGGGGCTAGTGGTTAGAGAGGGAAGGAGTGTCCCTGGGATAGGGAGCAGAGGATATTGGTTCACCAAAAAGAGCCACCTCTTGCTCCTCATCTGGGCTCCCCAGGAAGAGGGAGTGCAGGCCAGGTCTCAGTTTCAAGAGAGTGGTCAGCAGGGAGCTAGATGCTGGGAGAGGCCTACAAGAGCAACTTCCCCTTGGGAGATCCAGACCTCAGTGCCGTCTTACCTCATCAGCAGGAATTTGGATGCCTTTGCATGGCTATTTGCGCTCCCCAAAAATGTGATTGGGTGAAATGATGACAACCCTTTATACATTGTGCCCACACTAATGGGCTCGGGGGAACAATCTGGTTTTGGGGGGCAGTCTTTGTGGCATGGATGTTGCCAGGGCAAGGGATGCTGGGAATTGTGACATGCTGAGTCAGGGCATGATCATGATGCAGAGTGTCTGCATTAGAGCAGAAGCAAACCACCTGGGCGCAGGCACGTGGGCAGGGGCTTTTCTTTCTGCGCATGCTTAAACTTGTGAAGCCCTTGCCAGAAATAGCCACTGCAGCTCTGCTCCCCACCCCTTCTGAAGAAACCCTTTCTTAATCTCATGGCTCCGTTTCTCCTCTTAGTAGAACGTGGGCATCCGGGAGAGGAGGGGTAGCAGACTGGGTAGTCTTATGAGGACTCGTGCAAGGTTTGCGTGGTTTGCGACCCAAGTTTTTCTGTGTTTCTCTTTCACTGGATGCCTAGAGAAGAAGAGTTCCCAAGCGGCAATTTACCACCTACAGTTGGGGACTCCAGTGTTTAGTCCATGGATATTTCCCTTTCACCCACCAGACTTCTGGTACACTGAGAGGCGAGTATATGCAGAGCCAAGTGCTGCACAGCCTTGTGCTGTGTTGTGTTGTGTTGTGTTTTTTGGAACTCAAGCCCAACCTCTGTCCTGTACTAAGATTCTAGGGCAATTTACTTTTCTTTTATTCTCACCGGTTTGCCTTCTTGGAAATGAGGGTTTGTCAGAGACTAGGCTGTGGGTGGCAGAACAACAGACACAGGCACCAGAAACCAAGCAACCAAACCAATGTCCAAACATTAAGCCTAGTCCAGTTCAAGAATCCAAAGTCACAACCCAGAAGAGCAGAGACAGTCCGGCAACCGATAGCATAGTCAGGGCAGGGCAGAAGTCAGGAACCAACGAAGCAAGACAAGAGGGAGATACCTTTTGATCAGAGCAGGGGCAGGAGCCAGGAACAAGGGCAGGAGCTCAGGTAACACCAGCCAGGAAGCAAGCAGCAAGCTAGGAGGCCTTCGTTGCTGAGTCAGTGTCTGGAGAGAAGAGCCCATTCCTCTACAGTTCTTCCCCCAGCGCTCCCAGGTGGTGCTCATGAGGGCACTACTAGTACCAATGGATTGAGGGAGTGATGTTCTTCTGGCATTGGGCCATCAGGAGATGCCCTGAAGCTACCCAGATCCTGCCCAGGGTTGTGTGATCGGCCAGGCCTATCATAGCAACCACTTTATAAATAGGAAACTCCCATCCTCATGACAGCCATTTTGTGAGAATGCACACAACAGTTTCAAAATTCCACTTCTGCCCACTGATTCCACTTCTGTGGGTTCCATATATTAGTGGCACATTGTTTGGGTTCACACTTCACACAAGCAACCCTGCTTGGCTTCCACAGTGTTCCCTTTCTTTGCCTGAATGTGCCTGACAGGTGATCAGGTGGTTTCTCCACGAGTGTAGTTTCTACCCTTTTCACTCGGTCCCCCCACTGTTACCTGAAATTCAGTCCTGTGCTGTGTGTCCAGAGCAGCTCCTGCAGCTGCCGCTCTTTCCAGAAGACTCTGTGGTAGCTGCCTACCAGAACCATAGAAACCATGATGCCAGGTTTGTACAACCAGAGAAACCATGGTGAAGCATGGAAACCATTGGACAGACCGTTGTTTCTTATTGTAGGTTCTTATAACCAAATATACCGTGTTGAAATACCATGACAGGGTTCAGACACACAACAGACCATGATGTGCAGGAAACCACTGTGGCTTGTCATGTTGTGCAAACCCAACCATTGTGTTACGACGGAAGGAGACAAATTTACAAAACTGACTTGTAAAGTATTGCCAGTTCCCCTTTTTGCCAAGCTCCCTGTCCTTTAACCACTGCACATTCCCAAGGCTCAGATTCTACCGGGATGGAAATGCAATGATGAGGGCAGCTTTACATGGGTTTGATCTTCTCCTGTTGGGCAGCTGCCTGGGGGGTGGGGCGGGGGGTGAAATGCTGTCAGGAAAAAGCAGAGATGATGCCAGCTGCAGTGTGTGATTGCACCTCAGTGTTAGCTTCTTCAGTGCCATCTCCACCTTGTCTAACCCTGGACCACGTTGTGCCTTCTTTATTTTCTCTGCTTAACTCCGAACATTTCAGAACATTGAAGTTGAAACCTGCATTTCCAAATAATTGTATTTTTTTAACCTTTCTCACAGAATTATTTTTGTATGTCTCTCTCGGGGGACACAATGTGTGTGTGTGCGTGTGTATGAAAGAAAGAGTGAAAGTTGTTGCTTGGGATTTTTTTTCTTTAAAGTGCCACACAAAGTGAAACAAATATGAGACTTGAATGAAAGTATTTTTAAACAAATTATTTATCATATGTAAGAGGAATAAACTGATTGAAAAAGCCATTTTTATGAATTGCTGCCTGTAAGTCATGCTCATTTGGAATTTCTGCATCTCTGGCAGTAGCTGAAACGCAACTTCATCATGTGTATATCTAGATCTAAGAATGTTGTGTCAAGTTTATTATTTATTGAAATTATAAGAAGGACCACACTGATCTTCACTGCTACTGATAATCTTAGAAGCAGAGATGCTTGTGGAATTTGATCTTTATGAATTCAAATAGTGCCCAAAGCTGCATCTCTTAGACTGATGTATACATTAAGCTACCCATCATGGAGGGAAGGCACACAGGGTGCTGTCATATATCCAAAATCCTACAATTCCCAGCATTCCCCAGCCAGCCAAAGGGCCTAGGGGATGCTGGGAGATGTGGGACGTTCCATCTAAATGTGCATAGGTTCATAACCTTGATCGTGTCTACAAATTCAGAGAATATTTTGTTTTTAATTGCAGGTTGATATAAATATGAAGCAGGACTATCAGGAAAAACATGATATGGACCAAAATACAGGCTGATTTCTCCATTCCTGTTTACAGTGATACAACTAGTGATTTTTGTACTAGGGACAAAGACACACGAGAAACAATGTTGGCTAAAGTCAGAATAGAATAACTGCTGGCTTTTAGAAGTTTCCAAGGGAAATTCCTGGTGGAGGAGGCTATTGACGGCTGCTAGTTATGATGGCTCAGTCTTTTCTCCGGTATCTGAAAGGGCCACAGTGTTACTGGGGTTTGGTTTGGTTTGGTTTGGTTTGGTTTGGTTTGGTTTGGTTTTTTTCACATCTTGTGCTCATCCCACAGGAATCTGGTTGATCACTTTGGGAACAAAAGGTCAGAACAAAGTGGCTTTGGCCAAATCTACCATGGCACTTCTGTGGTTCTAAAAGTGTTCTCTGGGAAATGCTTCTCTATCATTCAGTGCAATCAGCCATATTCTGCACTGAGAAAACTCTGCAAAGATGCCAGTTTTCATATATGCAGTGTTACAGAAGCCATTTCATCCTGCCGTTTATTTACCAGCAGTCTTTCTGTCTCCCTGACATCTTTGTGTTTTTGACATCGAGCTGAAGGAAGAGGTCCTTGGCTCATGAAAGTTCTCCAGGTAGCATCAATCAATGCATCTCATTATTGTACTGTCTAGGTTTTTCCTTTCCCTAAATAATCAACTCAGATGTTTCTCCCTCTTGCACTGTTCTTTCATCCACCTAAAAATCTTGCAAATATATACCATGACTCCTGCACTTGCCCACAAGGGGGCACTGCTGCACCTCAGGTGAACTTTCCTGCCTTCCTGCATCTGTATCATGGGTGCCGTAATTTGCTCCATTAAACATACGGCTTGGCATTATGTGGCACCAGCTATACCTTGTTTGGAGGAAGTGCGAAGGGGTGGAATCCAATCATGCAAACCAGCTTTGGCACTGGATCTGGCTATCTGCTACAACGGAACAAAGTAGATTTCCCTGCGTTGAGGAACAGAGAAATAAACAAGTTGAGAACACATGTATGTGGAAATGTACTGGTTCAGAGGGAAGCAATAAGTGGGACATTTAATATATCAGAGCTTCCCAGGCTGTATAGGAAGGGCTTGGTTCATAGAATATGCCATCAATCCACTTGATTGATTCTGCAAAGCGCTTGGCGCTTGCACTCTTTCTG